ACCAAGATTCAGATTTCTGGAGTTGATGTTGAGAAGTTTGATGACCGAGTATTCCACTGGATGGGAGAATAAGCAAGTCCTAAGAGAAACTCTTTGCATCAGAGGAGGTTTATCTGCAGGAGGCTATTAGTCATGGTTTGCTACAGTTGTGTATATACTCACTCCATTGTTCATGTGCTACAATTTGCTTTTCGGTTGACAACACAGATATGTTACGATCCCTCCCATAGTTAACTCGACATTGAAGATGTTATCTTGTGCAGCTTCTCTGGAAAGACCAGCAGCCAAATCTTGGATGATAGCACATTGAGCATTGAGTTGATGACAGCACATTGAGCATCCATGGACACTATTTACTTTTCCGGTAAACTATGCCTTGTTTAGCTTTATTCCAATCCATCAATCACACGGCATAGAATCTTCATTTATTTTAGAATCTCCATAGACTGATGCATTATTATTCTACCTTATCATTTCTTTTGCCCATATCCTCATTTGTGCAGGCACCTTCCACAGAACAGGGCAACTGCATGCACTCCGTAAGAACTCTTGCAAGAAATCAAAATAGAATTGTGCATCACACGGCAAACAAAACCAGACATCACTACAACAGCTCCGCAAACCCACACTCCTCGCGGAATCTATACGAACTAATAAAATAAGTCGTAAGGAAGAATGGATAGCAGTGTATATGAGAGGACTGGCAAAATCTATTAGCAGTTTTCTTCTCCCTCAGAGCATGCTGTCGATCCGCGAAGGAAGCCTCTTGAAGAAATTGTTGGGGACGGACGGCAGCTTGCTCCTGAATCTGGGGTGGCGCAGCATGTACAGGCCCGCCAAGAGCGCCACCATCTGGAACGGCGTCACGTAGAGCATCACGGCGGCAACCAGGCAGAACACCACGAACAGGCTGGTCGCCCTGGGATCCCTCCAGCTCAGTAGCGACTGCAACCTCTCCCCCTGCATCGCCAGGTCGCCCACCACCGTCTGAATCCTGCCGGCCACGCTCCGAAGCCTGTCGTACCTCATCCGAACTATGTCGTGCGATTTCGTCGTCGGAAACGTGTCGAACTCCTCGTCGAGCTCATCGGGGTGTATAACCTCCGCCGCCGAGAGCTTCGTGTCCATGTGCGGCGGGTGCCTCGGTCGGAACCTGTAGCTCCACAGCCCGATCAGGAACATGTAGAGGAACATGGTGGGCAGGATCAGCTCCGGGTAGCAGATCAGGATCAGAAACAAGACGTGGACGAGCAAGGTGGTGATGGGGTTCTTCCAGCGGCGCACGTCGTCCAACCACCGGAACATGCCGATGGTCCCCGAGAGCAGCGACGTGATCCGGAAGAAGTTGGCCTTGCTCCTCCTCATGCTCCACATGTGGGAGTCGACATCCAGCATGTACTCCACCGCCTCCTTCCTCAGCGGTGGCTCCGCCCGCCCCAGCCTCGACGCCACGATGCTCATTGCCTGGTACCGCAGGCTGTCCACCTGGTTGATGGTAAAAGGATGAATATAGTGCATCTTGGGGAGCAGCGGGTGCCCGTAGAGGTAGATCATGCTCGCCAGGGACAAACATGTGAAACGCACCGCCAGGTGCAACTCCCCCATCTTCTTCACCCCCGACGGCTGCAGGACGACGAGGGGGTACGCGTGCGTGTAGATCCGATCCATCTCCAATGTCGACAGCCGGATCCTCACCTTGCCGATTCTCATGTCTCTCGCCGCTCCGCCGCCTCCAGGTTTCTCGTTCCCGCCGACATGGCCGTTATCGAACACCCCGAGGGTGATCACGGTGCAGGGATCATACACCTCCCAGGTGTACTGCTCGTTCCATTTCGGACTGAAACTGTCGATGATCGTTCTGGTCCGCACCCATTTCTGGCCGTACTTGGCGACGCAGTAGGCGTCGGTGGTGCCTCTGCCGTCCGTCTTCTTCATCGGAGCCAGTCCCTGCGCACTGAGAATGCCCACTTCCAGAACTCCAACGGGTTGCTTCCACAGCTGCCGCGCCGTCGGACGGTTGTCGCTGATGTACATGGTGGACTCATCCATCACATGGTAGGCTCCTTCGAGGCAGACACGGAGGTGGATCCTGCTCGAGAACTTGAGTTCCTTTCTCAGTTCACCCTCGAGCACTCCGAAGCCGAACCTCTCCATGTTGAACCATCTCGAATGCACCGGCCGGTGGTCTAGCCGCTTCTCGAACAAGGTCAGTGGCAGGACGATCCTCCCGAGCAACTCGTCCTTGGTCTGGTTCAGGCGGTCCTCGGTGGTCAGCACCAGGTGCTCCTCGAATGGCTCGGCCGCCACGAACACAAGGTCCTCGTTCCACATCGGATTCATAGTCTTGGTGGGGCAAACTTTGGTCTTCAGCACCTGGTTGCCGACCTGAGCCTTGACGAACACCTCCGGGAGGCGGCTCTTGTCGTTGGGCTGCACGTCCTGGGCTTCGATGACGATTACTCTGAGGTACCAGAGCTTGGGGGAGACGTACACCTTGGACCGGATGTTGAACACTCCCTCGCCCTGGACGGAGGCCGCGTCGGAGTGCCATGCGTCCGGGAAGGCCTCGTCGGCCTGCGTCCCGATCCACACTGCCAACATGACTTCCCCCCTCACCTTGCTCTCCCCCCGGTGGTCCTCGAGCCGGTACCACTGGGGGGCTAACGGGCTGTCCGGCGGCAGTCTCGTCGGCACCTCATTGAGATCGAAGGCGACCCTGCCCACATAGTCATCCCGTGCCACCATCTCTCTGTCCTTGACGTAGACCTCGAGGATCGTCGACTGGATCCGCTCCTTGGAGAAGGCGAACACCTGGTTCCATTCGGGGTTGACCCTCTTGTCGAAGTGCTTGGTTGTGCCGTGGTAGTTGCCCAGCTTCACTTCCACATACGGGTCGCAGCTGCCGGAGACGGCATTGGTGGGGAGGTTCTTGGCCTTGACGACACGCACGTAGAGGTAGTGCATCTGTTCCACGAGGTCGTATGTGCTCGTGAGCTTGTCGCCGCCGTAGACCAGGCCCATCCACCCGCCGCCCCTCGCATGCGGCCACCGCTCGCCCAGCTGCGGACTCGTATCCTTGAGCTTGTACTCCTCTGCGCGGCTCGGTTGGACCTGCTGCTGCGCCATGATCGACACCACCGCGGCTCTGCTTCTCGGTGGATTCTCCGGGGTGGAGCGAGACTTCAATCGGTCCTCGGGCTACCTCTACGTCAACAGCAGCTGGTTTTAGGGCAGTGTCTATGGAATTATCTTCATCTGCAAGGGCTTAATAGTAGGTTTCTTAATGACAATAGAATCAGATTCAATACTGGTGGATGTCCATGCAATGACACTAGAGGGAGGTGGAGAAGCAGGAGGGGACTTTGTTTCTGAAGGAGGATTTCCTCACCTTGCTTGATGATGCCAACCCCTTGAACTCTCGCCTTCCGAAGCAAACTGCGGCCTGGAACGAGCTGCCTTCATGTAGGGAGGAAGACGACCACAAGTTTCATGGAGAAGCTGTTTTGCGAACCTGACACTGAAGTGTCACAGAAGGAAGTGATCGAGCTACAATTAAAAGTTGAGAGAAGTGGAGGGAATAAAGATAGGATGATGATGATGATGATTGTGGTTTAGTGGTTTGTCTTAACTAGATTGCTGAGCTTGTTTATGGAGAGCTCATCCTGCTGACTTCGCTGTGCTGCCATGCTTAGAAGAGTGACTTAAAAAAGGAGTTCTTAGATAGCTGCATCATTTCTTCTGCGCACTGTTGGAAACAGTTCCAAAAGGACAGCAAGCGAGGGTAAATGTCAAGTAATAAAGCAAAGGATTCCCTGAAAGCATAAATTCAAAGGCTTTTGGAGCTTGGAGACTTTTGACAAAGATGCTTTCCTCTAACCTTTATTCTGCATGTTTGAATAAAATAGTGTAATGGCTGTTCTGCCATCTGATTTCCTTGGCACCCTTCGATCTCACAACACTGAGCTGCCATTCTTCTTGCCTGCTGTGGTTCCGAGCCCAACATCCCATTAGCTAGTTTGATTCATCACTTCATTGCTGTTTCAAGTTGATGTCTTACAGGGCTAAGACCACTCAAAGGAAGAAGAAACACTTGTCATATGTTGTTCTCTGGTGAAATGGAAGTTCGAGGACGGAAGGCATCTGATCACATGAATTCAATAGGAACCCAATAACCTCAGTAGAGTAGGCAGTCCTGAGCTTGAGGTTTCTCTTTCCTTGTGAGATGGATAAAGTGATTGCTGTCTTTATTCTTTCTTACTGGTGGCTGGCTTTCACTGGAATTGATTCTCCATACTCGTTAGACATCTGTAAACAGTTAAGATTCTGAGAGCTAAGTAAGTTCTTTACAGAGAACTTTTAGGCCCCCACGGTGGAGAATCAATAATGACTCCAAACTACAAATAATGCTTCACTGGTGAACTGATGATGCAAAGCTGATCTCCGACATACGGAAGAAAAGAAAAGAGGTGAGGAACAGATGAAAAAGATGTGAGAGTTTGGGAACAGCATTCTCAGAATTCTCTGAGCACCAAAAAACAGTAATTTGATGTTGAAATAACAATTCCGAGAATGCTGTGAGTACAAACCAATAATTGGCAGTAATGTTCAAACATTTGGGACACCTACACTTGAATTTATAGCTGCAGCTGGAATGATTATAGTTTTTGTAAGCATCATCCTATCAGAGTAAAAGATTGCAGGTTATGTATCCTGGAAATGAACCAAATACTATAGCTGGGAGAGCACGGCAAAGGGCCTACATGAATCCATATTGCTTTCCTGAACAAAAGCCCATTCTATTTGTTGGTATTGAACAAGAGCAACAGGACTGGGATGTGGAGATGAGTGCCATAGGGGACACTGCTGTTGACGCAATTGAGCAGTACATGTTAATCTCAAAATGATGCAGGAGTACATGAATGACCAGTAATTCTATGATTAAGCTATGTCATATGTGAATCAGAGTCATTCCTGTTCAAGTACTCCTAAAACTTCAAAAGAAAATAATGATTTAGAAATGCTTTCCTTCATTTTATGTTCAGTAAAAATGTTCAACAGAAACTGGAGAATCTTTTATATATATATATATATATATATATATATATATATATATATATATATATATATATATATATATATATATATATGCATT